GTAGTGTAGCGCGCTGCTACTGCACAACACATTTTGCATATTTGACAATATGCTTGCATGATGCATTTTATATTTTGCAACATGTGTATGCATGATATAAATGTATCAGTGCATATTTCAATGCATAAGAGGTGTTTTTACAATGATCAGCTTGTGCAAATGACTTCTATTGAGGGATACACTGAGTTTCATTTGGAAGCATGTAAACATCTTCTATCAGCATGTACAAGTGTTGTGGATTCGGTGACATTATTTAGCAGCATTTTGCATATTTATATGAAACGTTTATGCATTGACTTAGTTATGCATTTAGATGTTGAGACATATTTGAATAATGCATCAACATCTTGCATTATATGTTGACATACAATGTAGTGGTTTAATACATTATCATAATATATGAAGTATTTGTATGATCCAAGTGCATAGTACACACATACATTGTCTATGTGCTTGCATAATACATTTGCATAATGATTTAATGCTTGCATGATGTGTTTGATGCGCAATGTAGTGGTTTACGCACGAATATAGCATATGGCCTCTTTGCATTATATGCATGTATGATGCATACACAAACATTGCCTATTTGCATGCATAATGCATTGACATGATGATTCAGCGCTTGCATGTAGTGCATGATGCATTTTCATATAGGTGTAGTGCGCTGCTACTGCACAACACATTTGCACATTGGACAATATGCTTGCATGATGCATTTTGTATTTTGCAACATGTGTATGCATGATATAAATGTATTAGTGCATATTTCAATGCATGAATGTGGTTTTGCAATGATCAGCTTGTGCAAATGACTATTATTGAGGGATACGTTGGGTTTCGTTTGGAAGCATATAAATGTATTCTATCCACATGTACGAGTGTTGCGGATCCGGTGGCATTATTTTGCAGCATGTTAGGTTTCATTTGTCATGCTTCTGCAGTATAATTTTGCTCATTTTTCTTCTGCTGTTGTTATTTTCTTCAGTATTTAACTTGCAGGAGTATACTTCTGTTTGCAAATGAGCTACATGTCACTTCAAGATTCTTCCACTTATTATTTGCAAGCGGGCTGATTTATCATGTATGACAGCCTGGCACCACAAATTTATTGCCTCAGCATGCCAGTGGCTTGCGATTTTTACTACTAATTCCCTTATTTTACTTACATGTGAGTCGTAGCATTATGATGTGGGTCAGTTGCTGCTTTATGCAGGTGGACTGTTGTGTCCTAATGAATTTTCTACAGTTGTTTGTAGGTATTCGCATTTATCGTTCTTTTTATATCTACTGGTGGATAGCATATCGTATACATGACGAGTCTTCTACAATGATTCATAGGAGATTGCATTTATGGTGTGTTGGCCCTCTTTTTCTTAGAGGGGATTAATGTACATCATTTGTCATTGAGTGGTTGTTGACTGTAAGGGCGCTGTAACATTCATTGCCTCTTGCTACAATAGCTTCGTGGGTGCTTGTATGCATTACAAGCCTTCTGTTGTTATCCACAGACGAGCAATTCTGAATGTGAATCTTCTTGCGTCATCTACACGTGTAACCATCATATCTGCTACTAGTTCGTATGCTTCGTCATAACCCTACTACTTTGACTTGTAAGAAAGCTATTGTGCAGCATGATGAATCTCCCATAACAACTCATAGGTATTTGCATTTGCTACAACATCCTTTGTATTTGCTCGAAGATAACACATCATGCACGTGACGGGTTGTTGATTCTCGCGTTGCATATCAAAATCTTCTTCCTGTAGGGGACTCGTGCATTTGCTAAATTCTTGATTGACATTGACGGTGAAGGCATTTTATCTCATGTATGACTCTCATGCTTTGCTCGTGAATGTGCTATTGCATTTATCACGATCTCCTTTCATACGTTTGTAGGATAGCTGCCATTCCCACAACATGTCTAGCATTATCATGTATAGATATGCTAGTGTGTTCACTTGCATATTATTGTTGATCATCGATGAACTGCATTCACCTTTGATTTCCCTACATTTGTTGGTTACAAAGTTACTATATTCACTTACACATCTTGTGTTATCACCTATGAACACTCACAAGCTCCTTATTGCAGCTTGTAAATGGACTGTTGTGTGTTTCACTCACAGGCTCCTTATTGCAGCTTATAAATGGACTGTTGTGTGTTTCATAAGCTCACACTCGTGCTTGTAAGCCCATTATCTTTATCACTATATTTCCCCTGCATACAATCATGAGAATTCGTGTTCACTATAGGTTCTTCACCCTTGCTTGTAGATTGGCTAATTGAATATGACAAGTTACTTTAATTTCATCATTTATGGGCAAATTGTGTATTGAGAGTTTTGCTAGTCATCTACCCCTTGTTTATTCGTTGATATTCAATCATATGACCAGAATTATCGTTTATCATTTGTATTTTCATCTTGATCGTGCCTTTTATCAATTTAAAGTTCAGTCCCTATTTATTATTTTAGGTTCAGTTCCTTGTGGTTTAGTTTATATGCTTACTTCCCTACTTTTTGCTAAAGTCCAGGTCCCCTATTATTATTTAAGTTTTGTGTGTTTCAGTCTGAATTTCGGCAGCCTCTCGGCATCTCCTCTATTTAGGAGAAATTTTGGGAGATGGGCCTTCCCACCATGTTAGAGAAAGGCATGTATGGTAGGTGTCAGCGATGCTATGGCCGTGGTCTTCAATCCCATCACACAAAGAAAGGCATCTTTGGGTCCTAGGGGGTACCTACTTGAAAGATTAGCAGTTTTTTCCGCAGGCATGATGACAGATACATGGGTACTTAGGGTTTCCCCATCCATGCTAGAGAAAAGCATGTATAAGACCTACCCTCATTGCCACAAGCGCTGCGACGGGTCTCTCCCACCACGTAGAGAAATGCATGTATATGTGATTTTTTGGCGCTCTGTGAGCTGCGAAAGCAAGATTTGAGGGCTTTGAGTTGAGAGCGTTATACCTTTGCGACGAGGTGATGATGGTGGCGTCGAGGGTGACGGCGATGATGAAAAAATAGACAAATTTCTTCCTTTTTTAATTTTTTTTTCTCTTTTTTTTTTAAACTTTCCTTTCTTTTTTAACATTTTAGTCATTATTTCTTTTCTTTTCATGAGGCCTATTTATAGGCTAGTTCTTTTGTATTATAGGTTAATTATGAATATGAATAAAAATTTCAGTTTTATTGTTCTTGATCTCTTTGTGAGTTTTTGAAAGGAGAAACCCTAGGACAGGGCCACCATCACCCGTTAGCCGCCGGTGAATTCCTGGACTTGCGGTTAGTACTCGTATCCTCTACATCCAGCCACCTCATCTTCTCCAAACACCCATCGGCCACTTCAAGTACCCAAGCTTCCGGTCAACCTCAACAAGATCTCTTCCACTTAACCCACACCCCTTCCTCCTTAGCCAAATGCCACCCAAACCCTAAACCTAACCACCGGCCTTCCCCTCCCATGGATTCAAAATTGATTGTCTTGTCTCTTTCCAAAAGTGGAGCATGAAGATTAGGAAGGAAATCTAACTCAAAATCTGAATTCAAATTCTGATTTTGAATTTCTTTCCTAAATTTACATAATCCATATAAGGAAAGTGCTCAATTCGTGGATCTAAGTTACCTAGCCAGAGCCCTTGGCCGCCAGCTTGAAGCCTCCACCCGCCGGCCCTTTGCTCCACCACCTAAAGCCGTCGGCCACAAATCCTTCTCCCCCACAATAGTTGACGGCCACATAATTCCCTCCAAACTTTTGAATTCGAATCCATCATAAATGCTTTCTTAATTTAGCCCCACTAATTTAGGACGAGAATTAAATTCAAATTCAAAATATTTGAATTTCAAAAATCTTCTTAAATTCTCCTCTAATTTTGGAAAACCCCCCCAATTAACTTAAATATGAAATTAATTTCAAATTTAAGTATTCAATCCCCTTAATTGCTTGGGCCTACCTCCTTCATGCCTAACCTCTCCCTCTCTCCTCTCTCATTGGCCGGCCTCTTCCCCCTCCTCTCTCTAATTAATTAGGTCCCATAAATTAAGGATCTAATTAATTCAATCTCATCCCAACTTTCCTTCCTCATTCCCACTTGTTTCAAATTCAAATTTTAAGGAAATTACTCTCAAATTACTCACTAGATTTGAAATTATTTTCAGATTTAACCCTTTTACCTTCTTCCCCTTTGCTTGGCCGAACCTTCCCGATCCCTTCTCCCTCTCACTCTATACTTTCTCTCTTAGACACTCATGCATGGCCGACCCGGATGTTGATCATGGGTTCATAGAGGATTCTCTGGACCGGACCGACATTCTCCGATCTCCATTCTTCGATTTCAATTTGGACATCGACGACTCCGTGGAAAGCTACATTGAACGCTTCATCTTCACGTTGGCCCCGTCAATTGAGGAACACCTCCCAACCGGATCGTGATTATCGTGGGACGTCAACCAATCCATCTGTCGCCGGCTACCTTCGGTGAACTCTTACCCTCACTCTTTATTTTCCTCGTTACTTTCAATTGTGGAATTTAATTGATTCACTGAGATTATGTTAGTCCTCCGCTAAAGCCTAATAAATTATAGAGTTGTGTGAGGGATCCTTCATAGTATTAATCTCATTGTTAGTCTAGAGATTTCTTGTTGAAGCTTTCAATGTATGCAATGTTAGACTAATTGATTGTTTTACGGTCTTAACTCCTACACATGTGATTTAGCCTAAGCTTACGTCACCGCTCTATGTGTTTTATGTTGTCGTTCAAAATCACTATAAAAATATAATTATTGTGTTCTAAATATTAAGCGTGCAAATTTCTTAATCTAATCATCCTTGCATGTTTGGTTTCACATCATGTTTGCTATTACTACTGCTTCTCCTCCCAAGACATGATGGCTAGTTCGGATCTGTTTAGGCTGCTTGTTGTTGATTCATATTTCTTCATTGGGGCTTCTAAACTTAATATTTAATTGCTTTCTTTTTGGATTTCCGATACTTTTTTATAGGGACTCTCAAACAGAAAAGTTGGTGCCACTAATGTAAACTCAAAGAGTTCACGATCTCATGTAATTTTTACCTGTGTCATTGAATCATGGTGCAAGGTAACATTGTTTATTGAACGCTCAAATTTTCATTCTATTCAATGGTTATTCCTCAAGCAAGCGCAGCCTCAATGGCATTAGAAATGTTATAGAAGTTATCTGGTAGAATACAACATGCATGTACTCTCTATGAAATCTTACATGATTACTAAAGTCTTTGGTATTCTTTTTATCATATGAAGCAGCAAGTTGAAGTGTTTTGACTATTTGGGTTCAGCTCATTTTAGTCTTCATATAGAATTTAATATATTTGATTACTACTCTTTTAAGCATCCATTATTCTAGTCATTGTGTAGAACGTGTAAGTTGATTGCTACTTTTGGCGTTGAACTCAGGGCCAACTTCACTGTAACTGTCAAGAAGTTTTTGAATCTCATTTCCTAAAATTGATTTCATTTAATTTTTACTTGAAAATGGATGAAAATGAAATTTATTTTTGAAGCTCACCTTAAAAAAAGGGAGGATTTACATACATACCACTTTATTTAATTCTATTTACATATCTAATATTTAAAACTTTAATATTACATTCCTACTACTACTGATATAAAATTTTAATATCAATATATCGCTCCTATATTTCATTCTTATCACCCATACCACCCTATAAAAATTAATATTTCATTCCATGCACCAATATTTGTTCTATGGGTGGTAGACATGTAATATTAAAGTTTTAGGTCTTAGATATTTTTATCTTGAGGGCTAGGAAGTCTCCTCCAAGTTTTTTTTATCCCTTTTAATAACAATAGAAGAATAGTAAATTAAATAAATGACAGTTTAGAATATTAATTTTAATTATAATACTAATGAAGTAACTAAGAATTAAAGTGAGCGTAGCTCAAGTAACAAAGGAATTGAGATCACGAGAAATGAAACCTACAAAATAAAAAATATCACTGCAGCTAAATTCAATGAGTTTCACTTATGGAGTTGACATCCAAATGCCTCATTCATGCACTTGAACTAAATTGGTCCTTAGACAATACATATTATATTATTTGTCATTATGCTTTTTTTATTTATGCTTTTATTTAGTTATGTTAATTGGATATTTTGTCTCAGGGTTTGTCATCAAAATTCTTCAGCAGTTCAAAGACTAGCAGAATCAACTTTGTTGATCTTGCTGGCATTGGTGATAACAACGTTGATGGTTTCAGGAGACAAACTGTTCAAGAAGAGCGATTTGTTAAGAACTCACTTTCAAAACTTGGGTATGATCTCTTGGTTATAATTTTGAGCTTTCATGATAAAATAAACTTTTATAAAGATCTAGACATTTTTAATGAGCTAAAATATTTCCACAAAACACTGCTCATAAATAATTTTTACAATTGACAAACAAAACTCTGGATTTCCAGAATGAGTTAATAACTTCAGATAATAAGCTATGTCAAATAATTGTGGCAAACTTATAGATTATCTTCTTAATTTATTATATTTGATGAAGTTTGCCATTTTATATGCATGTCTTTGTGATGAATAGTGTTTTTTTATTCTTAGATTTGCTGAAACTTTAACTTCACTCTTGCCAAGTACTGGCATTATTAGCCTCAAGTAATAACCTTGAGGCTTTTATAGGGGCATTCGTAGTAGTGACCATTTTAGACTATTTGATTCCAATCTAGATGTGTCGTGCATATAGTGTGATTATAAGGGATTTGAGTATTTTATAAGAGATCTTTTTGGCTTCATATTTCATTTACGTTTGCCTTCCATCTCAACTTGATTGGGATTGCATTTTTTTATGACATTTGAAACAGAAGACTCTGGAAATATATCTAGTTGGGATTATTCATATAACTTAGAAGAAGCTTCAAAATTTCTTGCTTGAATCAAATTTCAATAAACAACAAGATTAAAGGTTTTTATCTTTTTTTTTTTCCTGTCAAATATTAAGTTGCCATGATATGGAAGATCAGGGGATCAAAGTCCATGAGGAAAAAAGTAATAGTTTTATTTCCTGTGAATAATAGTATTTTTCCTTTCAAAATTTGTTCATATTAAGAACATTTTGGTTTACATATAAAAAGAATCTATAATGACAGCAATTGTTTTCCTGATTATGGCAACATGGTTATTATTGTAAAAATACTAGGAGCAGAAAATTTTCCGTCCTTCATGCAATTAGAAAAGTTTTGGAGGCATATATTGGCCACTTAATCTACATAAATTTTTTATATAGGCTTTCCCATGTAAAACTTAATCAAAATTGTATGGGAGCTTTAGGACTCCTAGATTTCTTCAAAATAACAAAATTAAAGGCCTTTCTTGCATAAACTATTATTATTGCAATGAAAAAAATATTGGATAGGTGCAAAGATGACTACGAACCAGTATAACACATCATGTAGTTTTTGGAAATTTGCATAATTGGAAGTTCTTCACAGTTGACACTTTATTTTCTTGCAAAATGCAAGATTAGTTGAGAGAATCCAATTCTTATATGAATAACTGGAGGAAAGCTATGTTTAAATGTGTAGCAATATGTTGTTGCTATTTGCTCTTATTCCGTTAAGTCATTTTGTATTTGTGCTTATTATTCATCAGAGTTTCTTTAATGGAATATTTGGAAGATAAGAAAATTGTTTAGTAGGTGTCATGGCTTGACATCTAGCTGTTTAAATACAGGAGATTGGTCAACATTTTATCAGATTCCACTAGCCATGAAAATGACGAAAAGGTTCCACGCGTGGACTCTTGTTTGAATAACGCATTGCAAGACACTCTTGGAGGCAATGCCAAAGCTACATTTATTTGTACCATTTTCCCAGATAAAAGGTATAATTCGACGCTCTTGTACTCTCTGTAGTTCATGAGATTTCAGGAAAGAGAAATAACATTTTTTACCTAACATAGCAGGTATAAAGCAATAACACTAAGCACACTAAGATTTGGAGGACGGGTGAAACGAATGCAAAACAAGGCTATAATTAATGAAATATCTGAAGATGATGTTAATGGTCTGAGCGACCAAATACGTCAGTTAAAGGTAAAAGCTTAATGCAGAAGAGTAAGTGTAAAAAACACCTTTGTGAAGTATCAATATGTAAAGCTTGATGGTTTTTTCATATACCTTTGCTGCAGGAAGAGCTCATAAGAGCAAAATCATTTGGAAGTAATTGTGTTTTTAGCACGGAAGGACATTTCAAAAGGCATACTAATCGTGAGAGCTTAAATATTCTAAGACGGAGCCTTAATCGTTCTTTGTTTCTACCTTCCATAGATAATGATACAGAAGTTGATATGGATGTTGATGAGGAAGATGTTAAGGACTTGTGCGTTCAGTTCAATGACTTAAATTCTTCTATGGGCGACCAAACTAAAAATCCTGCAGAAGACTCCATATCCCTATTGTCATCTGATTGCATGCCTAATACAGAACTCGACAGTATCGTGGATCAAAGCGGGAGTAAAACTGATCAAAAGCCTAATTTTTGCTCATTCCCAGAGAGCAATGAATTAAAACAAGAGAATGCTGAAGTACAGGAACTTGAAAAACCCAATACATTAAAGGTTCTGATCATGAAGAGCAATAGTGTTCTGTGTAACTCAGAAAATTCCACTCCTTGCAATCAAACGCCATTACTAGAAGAGCCGGTCATTTGTGCGTCACCTAAAGTTGATGATAGCTTAAAGAAAAGCTCATCTAACTCACCCACCCTTCTTATAACGAACGTTGCCTCTGAAAGCCCAAAGCACGATTCAGAAAAAGGGTCATTCAGTAAGGTGACAGATCCTATTCGATCATCCTCTTTGCAATCAAGTAAAGTCAACCCTATTGAGTCATTGGCGGCTAGCCTTCATAGAGGTTTACAAATTATTGACTATCATCAACGGAATTCAGCCTCGAGTAAATCACCTGTTGCTCTTTCTTTTGAGCATTTGTCTTTGATCTCATATCAGTCGGATATGAAGAAGATTGAGGCGTCACCGAAGGATATGAATGCTACTTTCCTGTGTTCAGATTGCAAAAAACAAGTGACTACTTATGGTACGTACAACATGGATGTGCCGATTAATCAAGCTGACAATTTTGGACTTTCAAAGGAAATTAACAAAGAAGCGTTCGAGGTATTATACGCAAGCAGAGCTTTCTTGATAAAATTTTCAAATATTTGTGCTAATTTCGTGAATGCATTGGTAAAAAAGGGTGGAATTAACGCTTCGGAAGATGTCAACCAGAGAAACGCTGAACTAGAAGCTCTATGCGCAGAACAAGCGGAGAAAATAAAAAAACTGGATTCTCAGGTAATTTCTCTATTAACATAAGGCAGCAATATGAAAATATGGTCTTTTAATTAAGGTATGCCATGTCATAATAATAGTTTGAGCTGCAGATTGATTTGTACAGCAAGCAAAGTTCAAACTTGAATCATAATCCTTCTGTGGTTGAGGAGTCCAAGAATGAGGAGAAAGCTTCTTTTTCGGTAAGCCAAAATGTGATTGGTGTTTACAAAAGCTTAAAAGCATTCACCATCTCCTGTTTTCTGTAACACTTAATTTGGTGCTTGTGATACAGAATCAAGAAAACGTTACTGATCATGGAACCAGTTTAGATTGCAGCGACAAGGAGGCTCTTCTTAAGGAAATAGAGCACCTAAGAAAGCAGTTGAAGTCTTATACCTGTAGTAGCTCTACGAATGTTTCCCCTCTTGAGCAGTTAAGGAATGGCAGCAGCACGCCAGTAAAGGTAGAAGAAGAACTTGAAAGTGAAAAAGTGCGGTGGATGGAATCCGAGAGTAGGTGGATATCTCTAACTGAAGAATTGAGGATTGATCTTGAATCAAATCGCAGGCTCGCAGAGAAAAAGGAACTTGAGCTTAGCCTTGAGAAGCAATGCACAGCTGAATTGGATGATGCACTACATCGTTCCATACTGGGGCACGCTAGAATTATTGAACATTATTGTGAGCTCCAGGAGAAATATAATGAATTGCTTGCCAAACATAGAAAGATCATGGAGGGCATCGCAGAAGTGAAGAAAGCAGCTGCAAAAGCAGAATCAAAATGTAAAGGATCAGCTTTCGCTGCAGCTCTTGCAGCTGAGCTTGCAACATCTAGAATTGAAAGAGAGAAGGAGAGGAAATACCTCAAGGAGCAGAACCGGGTTCTTAAGCTTCAACTTAGAGATACAGCTGAAGCTGTTCATGCTGCAGGAGAACTACTTGTGCGTTTGAAGGAAGCTGAAGAAGCTGTTTCAATCACAGAGGTTAGTTTTCTCTCAAATTTTTCCAATTTTATCAAATACGCAATTTGATGTTTGATAGGATTGCTTTGATGCAGGAAAAGTATGGTAAAGCGCAGCAAGAAATAGAGAAGCTTAGGAGGCAAATAGAGAAGTTAAAGAAAAAACATACAATGGAGATTGCCACAATGAAACACTACCTTGCAGAGAGTCGATTGCCAGAATCTGCATTAGAACCGCTCTATCAGCATGAATGTGATAATGTTGATCCGAACAGGGCAACTTTGCCTGATGATATGTCATGGAGGTCTGCATTCAAGCCTTCTTATCAGTAGTGAAACACGAGTTTTCAATGCTGGAATTTAGTCAACTGGTCAAGTTGACATTATAATTTTGTCAACTGAGTTGTTCTGATGTTGGATTTAAGATTTATTGTTGGATAAATTTAGTGATATTTTTTAATAGGTGGTTAATGTGTTTGTAATGAGAAAGAATTCTTCTGTAAGCCCCCATACAGACCCTTAACAGTCCATTAGCAGCCTGCAAGCATGTAACTTTCTATGTTAAAACTTTCTTCCATTTCCTAAGGATTTGCGAACTTCTTTTCTCTAGTTTTTTCTTGTAATTACACAAGGAAGAAGCATTCAACCAGACTCACTAAAGCGTTTGAACATGTCAACTTACCTTAGGATTTATCTAACACAAAAACTGCTTTCAAAAGCATTCACAAAGGTATAGAGTTTGAACATACCTTATTAGTTCAAGTTTTCACATGTGTATTTTTGTATGTAAGGTTCGGATGCTGCGTATTTACTGCTTATTTTGTTACGTATTTTTTGATACATAATTATTTCTACGTATTTTTTGCGTATTTATTGTGTATTTAGTGAGTATTATTTATTTGTTGCTTATTTGTCATGAAAAAATTTTGTATAAAAAAATATGCAATAAAATAAACAGTAAATATGTAGCATCCGAACCTTTTTTTGCATTCGGATTGCGTACACAATAATTTCTCGTATAGGACACCTCAAATATCGTTGCAAATGAATTTTGGGTCTATTAATAGTGATTAGACAAGTTAATTACTCATTTAACTTTATATAATATTGAATTAAAATACCACATAAAACTTATCACTAATTTCATGCATTTTTATATTTTCTATATAATTTTCTAATTTGAGAGAGTGATTTTTGGATTTGAATTGAATTCATTGAGAAGTATATATATTTCATATAATTTATAGATATAATTAAATCCAAAAATTGGATTTAATTGATTTCAGCTCAATCAATTATGCTTTTATATGCCTCTATTAAAAATGGGATCCCATGTGAAACATAACATAAATCTAATTTATCTAATCTATGATTAGAAAATTTAGATTATCCTGATTAAATCACAGGAAAGATGTTTAATATATTATGCAATCTAATCATTACCATTCATTTCATTTAAATGTAATGGATGGTGATGCCTTTATCTTCTACCTCCAAGTGTTAAGAGAAGCCTTCGAGTTATTCCCTACTAATCATAGAAGATATATTGACATATCTTTATACCATTCATTTAGGAGGATAAGAGGATCCTAAACTCATAACCCAATAGCTAGATCTCCATATATTAAGAGCTCAATTCTTAATTTTCAATTTTTTTATTACCATCGATAATCTTCTCATTCAAGATACGAAAAGATTAGAGCTAAAGGTGATCACTCCTGCTAATTGAGATTTAAATATTCCATTTCAAATGATTATACAACCATCACTGCAAGAAATTATTCATGATGTTAAAAATTAGATGCATAATATTGATAGTTGATTGATCAAATCCAGTATAGTAAGATAACTAAACTGTGAATATCTGGTTCTGATATCATTCTTTGTAAGAATAAGTTGTGGGTTACTAGTACTAAAAAACTAAGATGAGAGAACCTACATGAGGTATGTTATTTGTGTTACACAATATATTTAGGGAGCAATAAATTGTATAGTGATATGAAAGATATATTCTAGTGATTAAGTTTAAAGACGGATGTAGCTTATTTCATTTCAAAGTATTAGGCATGCTAGTTAGTGAAGGCCAAACATCAGTGATTGGAAGGTTTTCTACAAATATTGCACATTTTATAATGGGAGTGGGATGAAATAACGATGAATTCTTCTATGAGATTTCATAGATCAAGGCAATGTCATGATGCCATCTTGGTTTTTATGGTTTGTCAAAAAAAATATGCACATTTTATTTCGATATGACAGAATTATTTAGTGTACATGTTGGCACGGGTTTATGTATGAGAAATTATTTTCCTACATGGAATACTGAAGGTGATAGTGTTTAATAGAGATGACAAATTTACCTCCAGGTTGTAGAAAGGCATTCAACAAGTCCTCCTTCGTTAATGAACAGTGGCTTGTTCATCATAGAAGAAGTTTTTAAACCAGTAAAAAAACTTCTTTTACCGTCTCCAAATGCCGGTGGAGAGGAAGAAATATCACGTACAGTACCAACGCTAATCCTTCCCATGGAACGCCTTTGCCCTGATGGATCGCCGGCCTCAGGTGGCCGACGACCTTCCGTCGTCATTCTTCCGACAAGGTCGCCGCGAAAAAACGAAATTCAAAAACAGAGTATTTTTGAATTCTCAGAGCTTCTCTCTCTTCTTTCTATTCTTAACTTTCACTTGTTTACTTGTTGAATTCATTAATATAACTTACTTTATGAATAGACCTTCACTTGCTGGCAGGAAACTCTCATGGGATGGAAGATCAATCTCACTTAATGAATCTTAATAGATGCAAGTTGGAATCCTAGTAGTGAGGCGAAGTCAAACACAATTTCAAGAAAACTTGATTGTTGGCATGCCTTTGCAAACATCAAGGCTTTCAAAGACTAGGAGGGATCATTCTCTATTAATTCATATGAATATTCAAGAGTCTTACAATTTTAGTGAGTTATATAATAGACTAAAATGAAAATATGAATAAAAGATTCTAATAGTATCCTATATATATTCAATCTTCTTCTTTTAGAACATTAAAAGGAAAAGGGTTATCTATAGATAAGAAAAAGGCAGTAAGAAATTTAACTCTTAAGCTTCATGGCTATATCTTTATCAATCTGTAGCAGTTGAGGCATTCTTTCTTTAAAGGTTTGAAAGCTTTCTAAAAAAAAATTGTGATCTATGGGAAAAGAGTTGAACTGGCTAAATAGAAAGAAAATGTGGACCCTAAAGAGAACAAGCTCAAAACAGAGGTTGGCTGATAGAAACGGATAACCCACTATCAAACTAAATACAATTGATTCAGTTGGATCAACATCGAAGCACTTTAGACTTGCTTACACAAGTTCTTCAAAAAAGGATGGTAAGATGTTAAATGAAGCAAGCTTCCGACAGGTTTTACAAGAGCACTTCCAATCGCACGTAGGGAGAGAGGATTGATTGATACACCCATCAATCGTAGAGGGTAAGATCCTACTACCACAAGCTCTAAAAGATGTAGAACAAATGGAAATTGCTTTGAGAGACTCTTTTTAGGGAGTGGGAATACTAGGAATGCAATTTCCAGATGTTGACCTCGATTTTCATTTGAATGCCCTAGAGGGCCTTTGATCGATTTAATCAAGTCTCGTCAAGTTTAATTCAAGCTCGAATCAGCTCGTATTGAATTGAATTAAACTCGATTGTATTTGATTAAACCTGATTAGTCCACCTTAGCTACATCGAGTTTGTTATGATTCAAGTTGTCAATTTATTTTTATTTAATTTGGTTAATTTGAGCAAATAAAATTGATCGCAAATTGATTCGAATCGAATCTTATTTTGAGCTTCATTTTAATTTGATGTGCTTAATTTAATTCCTTTTTCCTTTTCATTAGCTTAAATTTTATTTCCCTCCTAATTGGTTCTAGATTCAATCCCAACCCTTGATCATGAGTTTAGGGCTTTAAATAGAGGAAATTAATAAGGACTTTTTTGCTCTTGCCACCTCCTTAAGCCTTCTTAGCTTGAAAGCTTTGGTCTGTTAGGTCTCTCAACTATCTTCCATCTTTTCCAAGTCAAACCCCACCGGTCAAAGCTGCCGAGGAGGTGATTTCTGACTAGTCAAGGACAAAGATCTTTCAAAGTGATTTCCCATCGATTGAGGAAGATCCAAGGATCGACTCCAACTAAAGAAGTGTATGAGGACAATCTATAATCTCAAGCATATAAAGAACTTGAAGATACAATGGTGAGATTCTTCAAAAACTCTAGATTTAAGTCACCTCACTTAGATCAATTTAGCTTCCTAATAAGAACTTTTCAGGGCATCCAAACACCTCCCCATGACTTCTATTCATGTCCTTAATCTATGTTTAAAAATTCATCAAAATTAGTTGAGCCATCCTCGAGAATGAACACTTTCTCATTTTAGGGCATGAATTGCACTAATTTTGAGCTGTTAATCCTTAAAAATATATATTTTATTAAAATTAAATACCTTTTTTTAAAAATGCATTTAAATAATTTAATAATTATTTTAAAATACATTAATTTAAAATTAAATTTATTTTATGTCATATCTATTATTATTTAAAATAGTTTTAATTATTTAATATTTAAACACTTAGTTAATACTAATTATTATTAATTATTTTTTAAATTTTTTTATTATTTATAAATTTTTTAAACAATTAATATACCAAATATTTTAAAATTACAAAAAATTATTTTAAAATCTTCCTTGGATGACTAGTGGATTTCCCCTATATTTATCTTTTACAAATTGAATTTTTTTTAATTAAATTTTTTTTAAAAATTCGTTTATTTAGTATATGTATTTTAAATAAATTTAAAATTTCGTATATTTTAAATCCCTAATTTTGGGAGATCCGCTACATGAAATTTTAAACATAAGTTATACTTATGAATAGACTTCATGGGGGAGATTAATTAGTGGGTGGTTGAGTTCCAATCATACATTAATTATATCGTAAAGCATGCTTAATTATTGATTTAGTCATCTTTTGCATACATAGAACACATGAGCACTTAGCCTAGGCCCTCCTAGATTTTATGATTGGTGTGTTTACTATTTTTATGCATTTCTAGCATGTTATCCTAAGGGTTAGACCAAAACTCAATTTAAAACCTATTTAACGTAGTGACACCCTAAGGACAACAATTAAGGACCCGTCTAGCAAACTTAGAAAAAAAATATGAGATATGGTGGATCCCTGATTGACATGAAAATTTCAACAATTAAACTTTCAACTTTTAGGACCCTTTAAACCCCCTAATTAATAAACCCTAATTTACCCATTCATTAAGCCCTGATAACTTAAAAAAATTCTAATAAAATTATTTCAAGTCAAAAAATTACCCATAGTATTTTAAACTCTTCAAGATTTAGCCCGCAATCGTAGATAATTAGGTCCCTTTAATTGGACCTTAATTTGAGCCTAAATTTAACTTTAAATAAAAATCACTTTTTTGCCTTAATAAAATAATTAAAAAATTATTAAAATTTCTATATTTTTCTCAAACACTTAGGAACATCTTCTTAGGTATTTATGACCTTCGGGGGTGATTCCAATCAGTATGGAGCTTATTTGCATCAAAACTCCG